CGTGGTGAACGCGATCTGTTATTGGCACGTGAGCGTTCCTTACGTCTCTCAGTGCTGCTGGATCTTCGCTCCCTACTTCGTCGTCGTTTATCTCGGCTATCTGATCGGTCCCTTCTCGGCTTCTCCCGTATTCGTTCTCTACTTCTTGTTCTTTCTTTTCTAGACCCTCGTTCTCTGCTTCTTGATCTCCTTCTGTTGGATTTTTCAGGAGTCCTATCTCTTCGAAATTTTTGCGGCAGGTCATCTTCGCTTGATCCTGATCTCTTCCGTCTTCTTCTTTCCGGGCTTCGCTCTCTCTTAAGTTCTGGAGATCTTCTTCTTTCTGGAGATTTCCTTCTTCGTCGCCATTCCTCCGCTCCATTTCTCTTCGGTGAGTATTCTCGCTTAGGCGACCGATAAGGCTAGAATCAAAATCGAAGATTTTGTACTTCTTGGAAATGGGTGGGGGAGGGGGGATATATGCCTACCTTATGGTCCATCAACTCTGGTTCCTCTTTGACGTCAGCTTGAGGTGCATCTTTGCCTTCTAAATGATAATGGATGCAAATGATTAATCAAAAAGGGAACATGTTGTAAAACCTCTATTCCATTGGTGTAATTTTGCAACTGATTGAGAGAAGTCAACATGAATACGTCTGTCATCAATTAGCACATTGTCCATTTTGAAGAAAGCTTGTTCACAACTTTTAGGCTAAAGAACAGATAAGTGATGAGTTACAGTGATGAAATGTTTCCAGAAGTACAAATTGTTGATAAAACCAAGGTTGTAAGCTTAGGACTTGATTTTCCTCCCACTGCTGAGCATCCTTTCAAAAAGACACAGACAAAATGTAGGATCAAGTAGTTTGTTTCACAAGTGGTTTGCTTTCATCACCACTATCGACTAATCACAGCGATCACTTCTCATACAGCGAGATAGAAATGAGATCACGATGTGGTTCAGTTCCCCAACGATTTATGCTCTCAAGATGAAGTTTGTTTTTAACAAAAAGAAAAAACGTTTTCTTTCGTAGTCTTATATCTACAATATCAAGAACGAATCTAAATCCAAGGTAGAGAGAAGCAACTCACATCTTCAAATTCAATGAAAGCGTACTGAAGGGATTGATGTGTACGCCTATCTCGAATCACCTAAATAGGAAGTTTGATCAATTCTAACAAAT